CACCGAAAGAACAACTCGATGAAAGCACCCCTCACCGCGAACCATTTGAGCCAAACCCGACATACGCAGCCATCGCCCAGAGCGAGCCGTCTAGGAAAGACACCTAGTTCTTGGACAGCTGCTGCGGGCAGCACATATGCTCCTCGGGTCGCTTCGTTCAACGGGAACACCAACTTCAACGCGAAGTCGTAATCACCGTCGCCAACAACCAGAACCTGCGCACAAGACGACAAGGCATCTTCCAACTTCAGTCAAGGGAGACCAAGTCGTAATACAAATGTCGAAGGTTTTAATCGCAGAGGGACTCGGGTACAACTTACTTAGTGTCAGTCAGCTGATGGCGAAAGGAATTCACCTCGAAGCAGATAGCACCACTGAGGAGTTCAAGCTGTATCACGGGAGAGGACTCTACATCGGCAAGGTCGTGTTGAAGAACAATGTCTTCGTCCTCGACTTTGTTCCAGATCAAGGCACCGCCGACAACGACGGAATAGTCACCTTCACTCCCTGGACACATCCGCCACATCTCGACCCCGACTTCAGCCCCGGCGGCTTCTGGTACTCGAACACCATACTTGAGGCAGAACAAACACGAGCATTAGTGACAATCCAACAAGCAACAGAGACAACGTCGGCAGCAACGGAAACAACATCGGCAGCAGCAGAGACAACATTGGCAGCAGCAAAAACAACATCGACAGCAGCAGACACATCATAGGCAGCAACAGACACAACATCGGCAGCAGCAGCGACAACACCGATCACGACACCAATCGCGGGTCCTTCAACGGCACCAGCTCCAACCGACGATACTCCACCGACTCCTGCGCAGCAGTTGACTCCCATTCCACGAGAAGTCCACAAAAGCGCCAACTTCACCGCTGGTTTTTACTCCAACTCCGATATGTACAGGCATTCACCGGGACATCGTGCCGACGAATCTTTATGGCATCAAAGGTTAGGACATCCCAGCAACACAGCGCTGAACAACACAGTAAGAGCAGGAGTACTTGATAAAGACTCGCTACTCCTACCCGACAGCAGAGAACTCCAAGGAGTCCGAGGAACATGCTTCATCTGCCCTGAAGCCGACTTACCGCATCAGCCGTTCGTCCCTTACCACAACCCAAGTGCACCGGCATACACACCTCTAGAGAAGGTGTACAGCGACATGCTGTACAACCGCGAACCTGGTCAAGGAACATACAACTACGTCATCACTTTCATGGACACCGCCACACGATACGTATGGCACCTTAACCTTCCGAGTCGCGACATGGCCTTCGAAGCTTTCTTTGCCTGGCTTCCAGAAGGAGAACGAGAATCAGGAGTGAACCTGAAAAGCTTCCAGTCAAACGCGGGAGGGGAATATCAGTCACAAAGGTTCACGCAGTACTTGGCAGAGAGAGGCATCAAGCGGCTCATCTCCCTTCCCTACGCTCATCAACAGCAAGGCGTGGCAGAAAGAATGAACAGGACCCTCGAGAACACCATGCGCAAATTGCTACGTGGCATGCAGCTACCTAACCACCAGTGGCCCGAGGCGATGGACCATGCTGTCATGCTGCACAACTTGCTTTCGTCATCATCGCTCCCGAACAATGCATCACCGCATCTGCTGTGGACAGGAAATTTGGGCAACACAAATATGTTACGAGTGTTCGGCTGCATGGTACAGTACCGACCCCCAGCTGCACGCGCCGGTCGTTTCTCCCAACGCGCACAATGGGGGCTACACCTGGGCATCGAAAAACACTACAACGCATGGAAAATCTTCAACGTCCACACAAAGGAAACAGTAGCAGCAAGTGACGTGATCTTCTACGAACGTCTCACTCTCCCGACGTACCTGTACAACTTGGAAACCTCACGGGATATCACAGGTGGATTTCGTGGGGACTGAGCCTTCACTTCGGCAGCAGATGAAGGTGATCAGGACGAGCAGAACGTGGACAGAGCTTCGGAAGAAGCCGGACCTCTTACCTACTGTTTGGTGGATGTCCCAATGGACGACGACAACCCTCGCAAAAGCATCAGCGCCGAAGTCTTCTACGACCTCGCTAACAACGGTTACGTTACACCCACGCAAGTCAACACCGATGAAGCAGAACGCATAGGGCCCAATTTCTTACCTAATCCAGAAGCAGGAGACGATGTAGCTTATCCCGAGGACGCAAATCTTCCCCGCTACACACAGTGTGGACTGCAGATACTGGGACTCGTCACCGCCGTCCATGGAGCAACGCCACCTAAGGAGCCTCCAACAGTTCAGCAGGCTCTGGGGGGAGAGCTCAGGGAAAAATGGCGCGAAGCCATGGACAAGGAGTTAAAGGCGCTGTAAGAACGCAACACCTGGAAGGTCGTACCTATCGGGGGGGCACGGAACAAGACCATTCTCACCGGAAAATGGGTATTTCGCGTGAAAACAAAGGCAGACGGAACCATCGACAAATTCAAGGCGCGCTGGGTCGTACGTGGCTTCGACCAAGAACACGGACGAGACTTCACCGAAACGTTCGCACCGGTTAGTCGACACACCTCACTACGGGTTCTCCTCGCGATAGCCGCCATGAAGCGGAAGAAGCTTCGTCAAATCGACGTCGCCAACGCCTTTCTCGACGCACCCGTCGACGCTGAAATCTTCGTCGAGCAACTGCACGGCTCCAACGCAGACCCCAATCAAGTCTGTCAGCTACTGAAGTCACTGTACGGCATCAAACAGGCCCCGAGACTATGGCAACAGTACCTACACGCCCGGCTAATCCGCATCGGATTTAGGCAACTGCCGCACGATCAAGGGATGTACCGCCTCACGAAAGGAGCCGACTACATCCTGCTCATCGTCTATGTGGACGCTTTACTCTACATCGGCTCTACCGTTGGTGTCACAACCTGGTTCGGAGGGGAGCTGCAGCGGGACTTAACTCTTACCGTTTCATCGACCGTGACGCAGTACCCAGGACTCAACATACGGGACGACGAAAACACGATCCATCTCAGCGCCGCAAAATACGCCGACACCATCGCCAAACGCTTCGGATTAACTCCAACTACTATCTCCACACCGTGCCGCTACACCTCCGCGAACCACGAAGGAATCACCGCACCACTCAAGACTGCCGGCATACGCGACTATCAGCGAAAGCTAGGATGTCTGCTATTCGCAGCCGTCGCCTGCTGACCAGATCTATCGTATTCGGCAAGCCAGCTCGCCACCTACCTTAAGAAACCTGAAGCAGAGCACATGGCGGAACTCGACCGCGCACTCCACTACCTCGTCAGCACCCCGACAATCGGCCTGACCTACCACAAAAACGGAGCCTCGACACCTAAGCTAATCGACTATGTAGACGATGACCATGTCGGCGACGCAGACAACAGGCGCTCGCGTAGCGGCTACGTCTACTGACTTGAACCTATCGGGCCTATCTCGTGGCAGTCAAGCAAGCAGGATCTAACCGCTCTCTCCTCAGCTGAAGCAGAATATATTGCACTCTGTTCAGCCACCAAGGAAGGCTTGTACCTTCGCGAACTACTGGAAGAAGCGAAGTTGACCCAGTTACCCACCTTCACTCTCTTCTGCAACAACCAATCTGCAATTCGCATAGCGAACAAAAATGGGTTCGCGAACCAGACAAAGCATATCGCCTTGCGATATTTCTTCGTGAAAGACGAGATCGAGAAGGGGAGACTCGAGCTATCCTACTGTCCCACGTCCGAGATGGCTGCTGATTACTTGACCAAGAAGCTCGGAAAGCAGAAGTTCGAGTACTACATGCTGCTGACTTCACAAAGCCACGTCACCAGCAGCGACACTCCAGAAGCGAAGGGGAGTGTTGGAAACAATTAATTAAACGCTTCTTACGTGTCATAACACCGAACTACAAACGAGACGAACTACAGGGGAACAATGGCGAGTCAACCATCGGAGGTTGACAAGAGAAGTAACTACTGGAGGTTACGCGAAGTTCAAAGGACAGCGACCTTTGACTTGACAAATAAAGCGCGACAGCAAGGACAAACAACTGACTCGCTATTGAGCAGTTGCCCGAGTCGTCACTGTATCGAACCGCAACAGCAACAGTAAAACGGTTACCGTAAGCCCCCAGATAGAAGCGCAAGCCTCGGATAAGCGCCGGCGCTTATAAAAGGATGAGGGCGCTTATATCCGGTCCTCGATTATAAGCGCACCCCCTAGAAAAAGATGATATATTATAAGCGCATGTTTGTTTTTCATCTGAAAACCTGTCAAATTTCAGAAACGAATTTCACATTATCAGGGAAACGAAGTACAATTTCGATTTCCCACACTCTGATCTCACTTTTTGCGCGTCTAGTCAGCATGTGCTGTAATTCTGTCAGTGTGAGCTGGCAGGGAATCACTCCCTGCCAAGCTACGCGAGAATCGGATTCGCGACCCTATATGTTTTCGACTCGATTACAATCGGCAGAACGCGATATACAGTTTGGTGTAAAACAAATATATATTGATTTTGCCATTTTATAAGCGCCGGCGCTTATAAAATTCCTCAATTATAAGCGCACCCCCTAAAAAACAGTGTTTTTTTATACCCCCAGGTGCGCTTCTATCCGGGGGCTGACGGTATTAGCTGCATCTTTTCATATTCCTTGTACTCTTATAAAACCTTGTATCTTCTTCCTTTAATCAATCTATCTTGCCCTCACATACCAGCGCAAGGTGGCTCAACACTTGTTACTAAACGCTTCCGCAAATACAACACTTCTACTCAGAGTTTAGCCTTGAAAGATCCTAAGGGCCTTTCTCAGCCCAACAGTATTTTTGCACTGACAAAACCAGTATAAACTCAACCCCTAGCACTGACTTGGACACTACTTTTGGGCAGGGAATACGGTACTGATCCTTCAGCATGCCCGCCCTGAATCCAATCTGAGGGCCTGGTCCGGTCCCCACCAAGGTGTCACACTGCCATCACCCCCCCTTGCAACCCATGCAGTTCTTGTGGTAACATGCGCCTCCACTAGTTGAAATGCTGTTGCTGATGCTGCTGCTGTTGCTGCTGTTGCTGTTGCTGCTGTTGTTGTTGCTGCTGCTGCTGCTGCCTCTGCCTCTGCAGGTGCAGTCGCTGCATCTGCCTCTGCTGACTCAGCGATGCCATCGGCTGCTGCAGAAGCTGCGGGCCCCCGTGCCCCGGTCCTCCCCCACCACCGGGGACCATGGGCGAGGCTGCCTGTTGCTGCTGCAGCTGCTGCTGGTGCTGCAGGGGGAGCATGGGCGAGTGCGGGTGGGAGGCGTGCATGAGCTGTGGCGAGGGAGCGTTGTACGACAGGGCGGGCGACGGAGCCTGGAACACGGGGGGTGACGGGGCTGAGAACCCGCCCGTGCCGGCCTGCAGGCCGTACTGGGGGGGGCTCGTGGCCAGGTGCATCTGAGCAGATGCCACCTGCCCAAGGTTGCCCGGGGACGGTGCAGCGTAGGCTCCTCTCATCTGCGGCGCTGCTATGGGCCCTGCTGCACCCATGGTGGCGCCCAGTGCCGATAGCGCTCCTCCTCCACCCCCCCCTGCCACCTCTGCCCCGCCCATCGCTGCTGGCCCTGCGTGGGAAGGGGCGCCAGCACCACCAAAGTCCCCCATGCCCCCTGCTGCAGCCCCACCAGACCCCGCTGCTGCGCCAGGCACACCCACCCCACCACCTCCTCCTGTTGTACTGCCTGTACTTGGCAACCCTGCACCTGCAGCTTGGCCAGACCCCCCCATGGGTACGTTCGGCCGAACCAGACCCGAGCCTGAGGGCGGCATTCGGCCGAGCGGCACCGCTCCTCCTCCAGAGGCTGCGCCTGTGGAGGCGGGCATGGTGCCATGCCAGCCCCCCGGCACGCCCAGCAGCGCCCCTCCCAGCCCCTCAAACGTGCGCATGCCACTCGGCATCCCCAGCAGCATTGTCGGCGCTCCCGATCCCCCTCCTGTGCTGCCCCCGCCGCCAGCTGTCAGCATGGGATTGGCTGCAGCAGACGGGCGTGCGATGCCGATGGGAGCGGCGGTGGAGAGGGAGGGCAAGGGGGTGGTGAGCGGAGCCGTGGCGGGGCGCACAGGCAGAGATGCCGACCCCGCTGCTGCCCCGGGCGGCCGCGGTGCCGCCCCACCCGCTGCACTGGCAGCAGCAGCGGCAGCAGCAGCAGGTGTGGGCGCGGGCGAGGGGGCAAGAGGGGCGGTCGGCGGGGAGGGGCGAGCAGCAGCGGAGGAGAGCGGGTACGATGCGGTAAGGGAGGGAGCGGCAGATGCGGTGGGCGGCAGAGGAAGGGGTGCCGCTGCATGGGGCGAGGGCGGCAGTGGGAGGGAATGGAGAGGAAGAAGGGTAGTGTGGAAGGGAATGAGTGGGATAGAAAGCGAAGGATGAGTAGGGCTGGAATGGCATAACAGTGCGTGCGGGTTTGCATGATTTGGGTGAACTGCGGCCAGTGCCTACAGGTGCCATGCCAACACACAATGCACGGCGGCAGATAGGGCGGATGAGGGCAGTGGAGACGGGGGATGGGGGGGTGGGGGAGAGAAGGGACGGGGGCAGGGGAGAAAGGGGACAGGGACAGGGAAGAGAGGGGACGGGGGCAGGGGAGAGAGGAGACGGGGGCAGGGGAGAGAGGGGACGGGGGAAGGGGAGAAAGCGGATGGGGGCAGGGGAGAGGGAGGGGGCAAGGGAGGGAGGGGACGGGGGCAGGGGAGAGAGAGGGGATGGGGGCGAAGGGAGAGAGTTGGCAACGTACAGGCAGGCGGGGCGGGTGATGAGGCAGGCACGTCAGTGTGCGCGGCAGTGGCAGTGGCGGTGGTGGCAGCAGCGGTGGCAGCAGCGGTGGCAGCAGCAGGTGCGGGTGCAGCAGTGGTGGTGGCGTCATGTGGGTGCTTCCTCTTGCGCGGCCGCATATGTGGTGGCAGGGACGCTGCTGCTGGTGCCGCCTGGCTTGGGTGCGTGCGGTGGGCGGGAGGAGCAGGCCCAGCAGTGGCCGGCTGGGGGGCCACTCGGAACCCTGACGCCATGGGACGGGAAGCGAGAGGGGTGGGGGAGAAGGGAAGAGGAGTGGGGAGCGTGGAGAGGAAGAGAAATGCATGATGAGACGTGTGCAAATGGAGGGGAGCATCCAACACACACGTGTGGGCGCCCCGCCTTGCACCATAAACACCCCAACGCCCTATCCCCTCACACACCCTCGCCGGTGGCCAGTGCATTTCTGAGAAGCTTCTCCTGGTCGGCGACGCGGGCGAGAGCAGCCTTGTCCGTGCTGCCTGCGCCGTACAGCGCTGCCACGCTGGCCGCCGCCTGGCGCGCGCCGATGCCGTGCGCCTTGCGCGCATCGAGAATGACCTTCTCCGCGCGCTCACACGCCACGTCCACCATCTTCGCCTGCCCGGTGAGGGGACGAGCAGCGAGGGTCAGCGAGAGAGCGGATGGCAGGGAGAGAGGGTATGGCAGGGAGAGAGGGTATGGCAGGGAGAGAGGGAATGGCAGGGAGAGAGGGTATGGCAGGGAGAGAGTGGCGGGCAGGGAGAGAGTGGCGGGCAGGGAGAGAGTGGCGGGCAGGGAGAGAGTGGCGGGCCGTGGGAGAGGGAAGGGAAGGGAGAGGAAAGGGTGTGAAGAGGGAGAGCAGCGAGTCTTCCATGGGCATGGCGGGGCTGCAGTGGTTGAGATCTGCATGTGACGCCATGCACACCCGCCTGCATGTGACGCCATGCACACCCGCCTGCATGTGACGCCATGCACACCCGCCTGCATGTGACGCCATGCACACCCGCCTGCATGTGACGCCATGCACACCCGCCTGCACGTGACGCCATGCACACCCGCCTGCATGTGACGCCATGCACACCCGCCTGCATGTGACGCCATGCACACCCGCCTGCATGTGACGCCATGCACACCCGCCTGCCGTGGAGGAGGGAGGGAAGAGTCGGGGCGTGAGGGGGAGAGGAGAGGGAGGTGCTGTGCTGTGGAGTGATAGAGAGAAGGGGGTAACAATGGGCAAAAGTATCACATAAATGTTGAAGAGATGAACAAGAAGCAGTAAGAATGGCGTTGACTGGCCGCCAAGCACACACACAGCTCGATGGCCATGCCACCACCGCCCACCCCACCTGCACCTTCCTCCACCCGTGGCTCTGCACCCACCCGTGCGCCTCGCCCCTCCACTGTGTGGCACACAGCACGACAAGGTGAGGCAAGGCACGGAGACGCAAGGCGGCGGGCACGCGCCCACCTGCACACGCCCACCTGCAGGCCCCCACCTGCACGCGCCCACCTGCAGCTGCAGCATCTCCAGCTGCTGCGCCACGGGCAGCGCTGCCAGCGGCGCCCTGAGCGCGTCCTCTCTTGCTCGCCCGTCCACCTCCATCTCCGGCAGCAGCTTGGACGACAGCATTATGGGCAGCACTGGTGGCCGGGGGAGGGGTGGCGAGGCAGGAGAAGAGGCGGCACAGAGGAGAACAAGGAAAGGGGGAGGTCGTGAGAGGTGGCGGGGTGGGCCCCCCACAACTGGTGGTGGCTATTGTGGTTGAACCATGATTGCTTGTGTTTCGAGACTCCACCGCAGCGGGGCTGGGCATCCCAACACCTATGATGGCCGCTACTGGTCCATGTGCCAGCTACCCCTCCCCGCCTGCACTCATGCCTCCCAGCCCACGTGCTCACGAAGATCAACGAGTGCAAGTCTTCCTACCCTGGTTGCTTCATCCGCCTTCTAAGTGATAAGTACATCCCATTCATAGCACAAGCATATGAGCATAGCATAGCATACATGGTACTCAAAGGGGGCAACCATGTGGCAGCTCGTGATTGTGGGAAGGCTTGCAGCAACATTGGCGTGAAGGACGGTGGTAAGGACAAGCAGGACGGTGGTAAGGACAAGCAGGACGGTGGTAAGGACAAGCAGGACGGTGGTAAGGACAAGCAGGACGGTGGTAAGGACAAGCAGGACGGTGGTAAGGACAAGCAGGACGGTGGTAAGGACAAGCAGGACGGTGGTAAGGACAAGCAGCTCTGCGGCTTAACAACAGAATGAGAGTGAAGACGCTTAAGAATGGGAGTGGACTTTCACCTTGAAAATGTCTGCTAGTGTTATATTTTTAGAATGGGTTGGGTCTGGGAGGTGTGGTGAGGTATAGCTTCCGTGGGTGGCACGGATCTGCTGGCAAACTGCAAGCAGACTGCAAGAGCCACAAATCCGCATGCAATATGTGGGGTAGGCGTGGATCCCCCCACGTGTCAGCCAGCCACCGACAGATGGAAGGTGAAATGTCAGGTCTGTCTGCCACGCATTCAATGCTTCTCGCCCCTCCAACAATCCATTCCAACAGTGCGGCTTACCGGCAGCATTCTGAGCGGTGACGGTGGCGGGGCACACAGCGAAGGAGCGCAGCATGGGCATGACGTCATCCACGAGGCTGTAGAGCCCCGCACTCACCACACTCAGCGCCGCCACCGCCTCCGCCCTGATGCCCGCCCGGGGGATGGGGGTGGGAAGGGGCGAGCAAGGCAAGGAGAGGAAGGCAAGAAGGGAGTGCGGAGAAAGGGGTGGCGAGGCGGGTGAGGCGAGGAGTGGGGGGTGAGATGAGGAGTGGGGGGTGAGATGAGGAGTGGAGGGTGAGATGAGGAGTGGGGGGTGAGATGAGGAGTGGGGGGTGAGATGAGGAGTGGGGGGTGAGATGAGGAGTGGGGGGTGAGATGAGGAGTGGGGGGTGAGATGAGGAGTGGGGGGTGAGATGAGGAGTGGGGGGTGAGATGAGGAGTGGGGGGTGAGATGAGGAGTGGAGGGTGAGATGAGGAGTGGGGGGTGAGATGAGGAGTGGGGGGTGAGATGAGGAGTGGGGGGTGAGATGAGGAGTGGGGGGTGAGATGAGGAGTGGGGGGTGAGATGAGGAGTGGGGGGTGAGATGAGGAGTGGGGGGTGAGATGAGGAGTGGGGGGTGAGATGAGGAGTGGGGGGTGAGATGAGGAGTGGGGGGTGAGATGAGGAGTGGGGGGTGAGATGAGGAGTGGGGGGTGAGATGAGGAGTGGGGGGTGAGATGAGGAGTGGGGGGTGAGATGAGGAGAAGGGGGAGAGGTGAGGAGAGGGGGGTGGAGTGAGGTGAGGAGAGGGGGGTGGAGTGAGGTGAGGAGAGGGGGGTGGAGTGAGGTGAGGAGAGGGGGGTGGAGTGAGGTGAGGAGAGGGGGGTGGAGTGAGGTGAGGAGAGGGGGGTGGAGTGAGGTGAGGAGAGGGGGGTGGAGTGAGGTGTGATAGAAATGAAGCTCAACTGATTGATTAGTAAAGAAGGCACTAGGCCTTAAGTACAACGAGGTTGGGTTGGGAAAGGCTAGGGAAAGGATGGGATGGGAATCCTAGCAAATCTCCAATTGGTGAGTTGGCAGATTTGCAGGATTACGAGGGAATCCCAACCAGATAGGGTTGGTATTACAAACTACACCCAACCCGCAAATAACCTATGCGATATAAAAAATATTATACAAAATGTTGACAGCCTAATTCTAACACACCCCCTAGGCTGCAACACATCAGCCACAAGGAGGCCCAACACCCATGGCCGAGAGGAGGCGATAATGGTCCTCGCGAACAAGCGACTTGGTAAACAAGTCAGCAAGGTTACAGTCGGAGGCAATGTGTTCAGCCTTCAGCTGCCCGCGCTGCACCAGCTCACGAAGGAAGTAGTGACGGACTTCAATGTGCTTCGTGCGGCCGTGGAAAACCGGGTCCTTGGTGAGATGAATGGTGCTCTCGTTGTCACACCAAAGCGTTGGGGTTGGTTGAGGATACCCCAGTTCTGTTAGCCGGAAGGAGAGCCAACGAGCCTCCTGAGCAGCCATGGTCCCGGCATACAGCTCTGCCTCACAGGTCGACAGTGAGACGGAGGACGACCTAGTGGAGCGCCAACTGACAACCCCACTGCCAAGGGTGAAGCAATACCCTTGGGAAGAGCGCCGATCACTCTGGTCATCAGCATAGGATGAGTCACTGTACCCCTCAAGGCGAACAGGGGAAGGGCCGCCAAGTGTGAGCACATAATCCTGTGTGCCTTTGAGATAGCGAAGAACCCGCTTGGCGGCAGACCAGTGGTGGCGAGTGAAGCGACCAGGTGCAACGTAGCGGGACAGGACACTGACTGGATAGGCTAAGTCCGGTCGAGTGCACATCATCGCGTACATGAGGGATCCCACGAGCTCGGGGTAAGGCTCGTCACAGGGCTCAGGTGAGGGAACAGAGGGTGCAGTGAGTTGGTGGTGCAGAGAGAGTGGGGTAGGCATTGGTGCTGCTTCCTCCATCTTGAACCTCGTCAGAACGTTGTTGATGTAAAACTTCTGCGATCACGTGTGATTTCCATTCCCAGATAGTTCGTCAGCTTCTCGAGGTCCTTCATGGCCAGCTTCTCACCAAGTGTGCTTTTGACTGCTGCCAGCTCAGTTTGATCCTTGGTGACAAGAATCATGTCATCGACATAAACCAGGATGAAGAAGCGGGATGGTGTTGCTCGGATGAAGAGGCTGGGGTCAGAGGTGGATGGGTGAAAGTCGAGGGACCCTAAGGTGCTCTTTAGCTTGTTGTGCCATTCCCGGGGAGCTTGCTTGAGGCCATACACTGGCCGATTCAGCTTCCATACAGTGCCTGGTGGAAAAGGAGCTGGAAATCCTTCGGGCCGCTCCATGTAGACTTCTTCTCGAAGGATCCCTTGCAGGAACGCAGAAGACACATCCATGCAGTCAACCTCCATGTCATCTCGAGCAGCGACGTCGAGAAGGGTGCGCAGGGTGGGAGGTTTGGCGGTGGGAGAGAATGTCTCAAAGAAATCCAGTCCATGCTTTTGGGTAAATCCCTTGGCACAGTACCGGGCTTTGAAGACAGGAAATTCGCCTGGAAGTTGTTTCACCCGGAAAACCCATTTTCCCTTTACAATGTTGACGCCGGAGGGAGGAATGATATCTGTGAAAGTCCCTGTGTGAATAAAAGCCTCACACTCTGTGATAATGGCCCCTATCCACTGAGCGGCGTTAGGACCAGAAACTGCTTCAGCATAGGTGAGAGGTGTGGGGATGGAGGGGTTGTCGGAGAAATTGAGGGTGAGAGAGTCTGCGATGTCGGGAAAGAGGAAGCAGAGCGCGTGGATGGCTGAGTCGATATCAATCAACTCCTCATGTCTGTCTTCAAGGAGGGAGGGCATGAGAGAATAATCACCCCCGACAGGAGGAGGATTGAGAGAGACGCGAACGGAAAGGGAGAGCGGTTGTGGAGGTTTGCGAGAGCGGGTGCGAGAAGCGATGGGGGAGGGAGGCGGGGCTGGAGGAGGCGTAGCGGTAGGTGAGGTGGGAGCGGGAGAGAGAGAGGAAACAGGAGCGGGATCAGGGGTAGGAGCAGGAGGCAGAGGAGGAGGGGGAGGAGGAGCTGGGCGGCGGCGGTGGTAGGTCTTGAGAGGAACGGGCTCGGTGGGAGGAGGGGGAGCGAGAGCGGGAGGAGGTGCGAGAGGAGAGGGAGGAGGGGGAGCGGAGGAGGGAAGGAGCGAGGGAGACTGTGTGGTACTGGAGGGGGAAGAGGGTGAAGGGGGATCAGAAATGGTGGAGGGAGCGGGAAGAGGAGGAGATGGGGTGTCGGGAAGAGGGAGACTGTCAAAGTCAGCCCACGTAAGAGAGGGAGGCGGAGGAGTGGGGGAAGCCTTGGAGGAGGGGTAGAACGGGTGGGATTCATTGAAGTAAACGCCCCGGCTGCGATAGAGCTTGTTGGTGGAAGGATGGAGGAAGAAGTAGTCTGGTGAATCTAAGTTGTGCCCGGGCTACACGCACGTGATGGTTTTTGGAGCAAGTTTGCCGCCAGCCGCACGACGGGCTTGGGAGTTGAGGAGGACATAGGAAGTGCACCCCCATACACGAAAAGGGCGGACGGATGGCTTTTGACCCGTCCACAGCTCAGCGGGGGTGGTGTGGGTGTGATGAGGATGGGGATGGAGATTGTGGAGGGCGGCAGCATGAAGCATGGCGTACCCCCAGAGAGAGGGAGGGGCGGAGGCGTGCGTGAGGAGGCAGCGAGCAATCTGCACCAATGTACGGTTCCGACTCTCGGCAACACCGTTCTGTTGGGGACTGTCCGGGAGAGTGAAGGTCTGACGGATACCCTCAGTAGAGCAGAAAGCTTTGAGAGTATTGTTGCGAAATTCACCGCCACCATCAGAGTGAAGGACCTTGATGGTGGTGTTGAAGTGTTTATGAGCCTGCTTGGCCCATTCAATGATGACGCCTGGGGCTTCGGATTTGGAGGAGAGAAGGTGGACAGACACATAGCGGGAATAGTCATCAATCATGACAAGGAAGTAGAAGTGTCCGCCGCGAGAACGAACAGGAGCTGGGCCCCAAAGGTCCATGTGCACGCGATCGAGAGGTGCAGCCGAGATGGACTCAGTGGGGGGATGAGGCTGTTCTCGAAGCTTGCTCTGTGCACAGTCAAGGCAAGGCGGTCCGAGGGTGGAGGTAGGAGAGGGAAGTGAGGTTGGAAGCCCGTGGAGGAGTTGTTTGGTGGCAAGGTCCGAAAGCGCGCGGAAGTTGATGTGGCCAAGGCGGTGATGAAAAAGCATGGTTTTGTCGGAAAGGAGACGGCAGTGACAGGTGGAGGAGTCTGTGGAAGGGAGCGGAAGGTTTGTGAGTGAGCACGTTTGAATGGGAGGGACTACGAGCGTGTATAGGTTGTTGGCGTTGAGGGTAAAGCGGGCTAGATGAATGCCGGTTTTGGCATCAAAGAGGTTACAGTAGTCGACATCATTGTGAAAAATGGTGATCACTCCTGCCTGCTGGATTTCACTCTGTGCCACGAGGTTGTGGCAGAGGGTTGGGGCACAAATGCCAGTAACTGTGCCCGATGGAAAGGCTGGACAAGGAAATGTGGAGGACCCATGGCATTGGATGGAAAAACTGGAGTCGGCTCCGAGGAGTGGGATGGGAGCCTGGTAAGGAGCGAATGCGGTTTGGTGTTTGAGCACTGTGTGGGTGGCACCACTGTCTAGTATGAACTCAATCCCTTGTGTGTTTGAAACACCGATGTACTGCGACCCCTTCTCATTAATAATACCAGCACCAGAGAACAACAGGTTGAGGCGAACATCAGATGGGGTGCTATCAACTGAGGGACTAGGTTCCTCCACTGCCTCGACCTGGTTCACGCGACGGGGTGGGGCCCAGTTGGGAGGGCGCTTGTTGGAGGAGACACCATGGACGTCGTACCACTCATCATCTCGTTTCTTGAAACAAGTGGCCTCAGGGTGGTTGGTGCCTCCACATTTCTGCCCCGCACGTGGACCCTTCCTAATGATGTAGGGGCATGGGGGAAAGGAGTTGCGCCTTGGTCCCTGCTGGGAGCGGAATGGGATTCCAGGGGTGTAGCGCACAGC